ATGATTTACTAATCACACATGCTATATTTTGAGTGAACTAAGAAGTCTCTTCTAATGTTTGGAATGTGAGTCACACTAGTGCTTCAAATGGTATTTTCAACTCGTTTAGGTCTTTTGGCCAAAAACGACATTAAAAAATAAAATAAAAAAATGATCAAAATTAAATAATTTTTTAAAATATGCCACAAAAACTAAAAACAATGTAGAAAGTAAAAAAAATCTATAAAATCTATATAGATATACACGACATGGATTTAGAAAAATAAAAAAATCCATGCATGTTTGGAGACATTTTAGTAAAACTCAAAAAAGAGGAAAGTTACAAAAATCATGTATGTGACTAGAAAAAAGAAGAAGAAGAAGGAGGAAAACTCACAAATCATTGTATTTTTTACTTTTTTGACAAGAGTGTTGAATATTATTTAATTTAAATCATGGAGCCATTACAACCATAACAACAGAGTAATTGCAAAAAGGAAACCAACATTAGAACAAAGAAAGGGAAACCTTTAATGAGGGAAGGGATGCTCCCTTCTTAGCAAGGTCATCTGCCAAAGCATTAGTTTCTATATATATATGGTTAAAGGTAATGTTGCTGCTAGCAGATAATTCTTTAATGTGCAACCAAATATATCTCATACGCCAAGGTGTAATAGATAAGCACTTACACTAGTCCATCGCATTCTTAGAGTCCCCTTCCACAAATAGGGAGTCCCCCAAGCTCATCTCCTTCCATAGCTTGATACCTCAGCATAGGTCATAGTAGCATCACCACACGGTCCTGCAAAACAGAAAGCTAAATTCCCACTTGAGTCCCTGCATATCCACCCAGCCTAGCCCTACCTGAATTTCTCATAGAAGAGCCATCAACATTCAATTTAAAGCAACCACTCAAAGGAGGCTGTCAGTTGCTTCTTGTAAAAACAATCTAAATTGCATATATAATTTTATGGGATTGTATGCAATGAGAACATTTATCTTTGATACAAGGTGGTCACGATTCCTTACAACAATTTGATGTGAAATTTGGTAGCTTGGATGTGTTACAAAGTTCAAAAAAATTTCTTTTGAAATTTGAGCTTCGTCAATGGAATAATTTCAGGCATTCAATTGCACATCCAATAGTCATGATTAATGTGACCACCTTGTATCAAATGTTAATGGTCTCATTCTATATTTTCCATGTTTTTATATATTTTTTATTCATTATTTTTTAAATTTTGTTTAAGCAGGCACCTGAGTACTCAGCTTGACAAGGTGTCGTGTCTGAGTGGAGTAAGTTTAGAATTGTTGCCTTCAAATATCAAAATCTGCTCCGACAATCCAATTGTCTAAATCCCATATATCCAGTCTGATTGAAGAAATTCTTGAGTTAGATCAGACTAGTATTTGAAAAATCAAACCAGCTTCAGAAACCAGCCAATGGCCAATTCCTAGTAACCAGCAAACTGGCCTAACTGGGTAAGTCTCGGCCGGTCCAAAAAGTGCTAAAAAATAAAAAAATATCAAAAATATATTGAAAGTATGATTAAACAAAGCACATCCAAATGAAATTGAAAATTAGTGAAAAAATGGATTTCAAAACATTGATGTGTCCCCCTTGGGGTATTTTTGAATTATTTTTTAAATAGAAAAAATGTAAAATAAGTATTCATGGCCAAAACACTTTCCAATTTTTGTCAAAATGATAAAAACCATTCAAATATACAATACAAACAAATCTTTTATTTTTTGAGATTTTCTATAAAATTTTTAAATCGATTTTAAAATACCCTGCTAGACCACCAAAACTTGTCAAAACCAGATTGACCAATGCCCGGTTCTTGTTTGATTGACCGAATTTGCAAACATTGGATCAGACCATATTTAACAATGAAATTAAAAAGAAAAAAAACTGAGACCATCAGGTGATTAGATTGGGACCTCTAGCCAAACTTGGTTTATTCTCTGTCGATTAGGCAATTCTTCAATCATTGGTGGGTACAAGCCTCACTTAAAATTCAACCGTAAGCCACTTCCGGGTTTGCCGATTAGGCTGGTTACTTCGAGCCCGTGTCATGTTAACCGTTTCGGTTCGATTTTGCGAACGCTGGTTATCAGAGTATTCAATTCAACAACGAAAGAAACTATGTTGACCCACTGGTTTTTAATTAGAGGTGGTTATTTGGAGTCTTCCAAGTGAACCTTCAAGTAAAGTTTGACTGGGTTTTGAGTAAGCAATTATTCGCATTTCACAAAGTAAGATATAGAAAACTCAATAATGATGATAAACAAAATAAAATAAAAGAAGAAGATAATATTTGCTATTTTAAGTTATTCATTATTATCATCTTCATAGTTTTTTTCTAATTATTTAAGGTCAGCTACATGAATTTTATTCCGCCATTTTGCTCTATCAAGGGTCATTCCCTCAGTGAAGCCATAATTTGCTATATGTTTTTTCACTACTTTCAACCATGTCGTTTTAGGCCAATCCCTCCATCTTTTAGAAACCAAGTTGTTTTTACTAAATGGCTTTTCAAATGGGGCTGGTATTGTCCACCTCAAAGGCCCAGTACTGTCCAGCAGCCCCACAACCCCTTATATGCGGTACGAGCGCCGGGTTTGGGCTTCATGACTGCAGCTTATTACTAGCCCGGGCATGGTTCAAGGGTTTATGGCTTTGTTGGAGGTGCAACGTCTTATTGGCCCAGGCGTGGTTCTAGGGGTTCATGGCTTGGTTTGATATTTTATGTGGAACGATCTCAACCTATTACCACCCAGTGCCTGATAATCCGGCCCAAGTTAGGCTTTTAAGGGAACCACCAACAGCATTAGATTAAAAAAAAAGAAATTTTTTTTTTTTTTTGGAAAAAAATGGTTTTCGGGAGAATCGGGCTGGACCCTTACCAGTTTTTGAACTAATTCGGTCCTAGCCGATTCAGCATCAGGTTCGGCAACAAGTCGAAAATCGCCGAATTTAAAAACGCTAACTTGACCTAATTTTCAGTATACCGAATAAATATTTGTTTTTATTCGAAACCTTGAGGCATTTTTAGCATATTGTCGTTAATAACCACTAAAAATAGCGTTCATTGTCAAACATGTACTTATGCATCGCATCATGTACAAAGCGTACATTGAATAAGTGAGGGGGCATTTTCCCGAAATAGTGAAATTCTGGTCGTTAGGGCTTACACGTTTGTGCAAGTGCAACATATATAGAGTTGAATCATTAAAGTAGAAGAATGGTGGTTGAGCTGTGTCTTGTAAACTTGGACCTATAAGCGCCACCAGAAATAGAGCTCATCCAAATCAGCGACATATGATGATGATTATAATACGGAGTACGGCAAACGCAATAATAATATTCCGAGATATGGTTTTAGTCTTCGTGGACACGCATGTGAGAGAGAAAATGGATAGTAGTTGGGAAGAGAGAGAGAGAAAAGGCATGGATACCGCATCAGAGATTCTTTGAAAGCTACGTCAGGGGTGGCAATAGACTTGGACTTATCCAGGATGCTAGTTGTAAACCCAATTTGGGTCTCGATATGGGTTAAAAAATTTGACTCTAGGTTAGGTCGGGGTTCAAATTTTGGATCCGAACATTATTTTTATCTTGTCGGGTTTAGTAATATTTTTTAGCTCCTAATATACGAAATATATTTGAATATAATTAAAGGTTATGTTAGGGTGCTAACACTATAGAGTAATTTATCATCGTACTCAATAATTTTAAACACTACATAAAAAATTTATTTCTTTAAGGTATTTATGATAATTAGGAAATATACGACATCATCTACATGGATCATTAAATGTTAGTTGTATGTCCATGTGAGTGACCTCATACCCAATGTGGATGATATTATACCCTTCCAAATGATAAAAATTATCCTTATAAAAAAATATTTTATGTATAAAATAATGGTATATAAGTGTCCAAAATTATTAAGTGCAATGATAAATTACTCCATAGTAAGAGCACATTAACATAACTCTATAATTAAAAGGTATAGTTTCTATAAGGATGCAACCTTAAACAATCTAATCAAGGTGCACCTTAAAATTTTATCATAACATGTAATTCTGTTATAAAAAATTCTTAGTATTATCTTAAAATCTATTTTCATACTTAATTAGAAAATTTTAAATTCTAAAAATGGTTAAAATCAGTGGATCTAAATTTTAAATTACATAAATATTTTAATTTTTGGATCGGGTTTGATTGGGTTGGGTCCAGTCCGGTCTGATTCCAGATCTAGGTCCCACTCTATATTTTCGGATCTGGGTTTAGGTCCTATATCATTTTTCAGGCCTGGGTCCGGGTTCATTTGCGTCAGGTCGGACCTAGATGCGCTGCCACCCCTACTACAAACCGTGGCACGAGGGATGAGGTAGGGCTAGTGCCCGTTCATTTCGGCTCATCCTGACCCTTTTTTTTTTTTTCTTGTTCTCTTTTATTTTTCTTCATTTGTCATTGGCCCGGTCTTGCTTGGCCCTAGTCGGGCCTCGGTAATTGGAGAAGAGAATTATAGAGAGAGAGCGAGAGAGAGCTGTAGCCTCCTGAAACAAAGATGACGGTGCAGGGTGAAAGTGAGCCACTACGTCTCCATCTAAAACGAAAACCTCGTTTGTGCCGCTTTTCATAAACAGTAACGCTCGTTATCCATCTACAGCACACGTACAGAAAGTTATTGACATCGACCCTCCCTCTCTCTCCTCTCTACACGAATCAACGCAATCAGTAATTGTAAGACCCCCGCCTCTCCCCTTCTCGCAAATCATGACCACACAAACGACTACCTTGCTACGTGTCAAAATCGTAGGCGGTAATCATTGCTCGAAGAAAGGGTATATATGGAGCACATAGCTGAGTTGACGAAAGGAGTGGTGGTGGGCACGATGAGAGAGGAGTATGGTCAACTCTTCCGTCTTTTCTCCACGAGCCACGTGGCATGCTTTTTTGCTATAAATGGGCTTTCATGCGCGTGTCAGGGTGGCAGTTTCAAATTTGGCCATCTACCTGGGGCCCGATGTCCGTTTAGATGAGAAAGAGAGAAGATTTTGTAGTTTGTTGTGTAGAGAGAGCGTGAAGATTTTTGTATTTTGTTGTGTAGAGCGAGAGAGAGAGAGAGATGAATTGCTGTTGGGTTGGTGGCAACCGCATGGGGTGGCTGCTCCTGTTCCTCCTCCTCGCGGTGGTGGTGGTGGTGGTGGTTGAAGCAAGGTCCGGGTCTTTTATGCCAGGTTTCTCTCTCTATCTTTCTCTCACTGACTCACTCATTTTTTGGGCCATTATTCCTACACCACTTTCAAAATTGTTTATCTTTTTGTGTTTGGGGACATTAATAGATAAGAGATTAGTATGGGCCTGTTTGATTTTTAGAAGACTGCAGTTTAGCACTTTTCTATTTCGATAGCCGGAAGTTTTACGGAAAAATGGATATGACGGGATCTAAAAAGTGGATGCTGCGAGTTCCTTTCATAGACGACTATGAAACTTGGGTTTCCACTTTTCCCAAAAGACACAGTACAGTTACCTGAACTGCATCTTTTATAAATCAAACACCCCAAACAAACACCCACTAAAGGAGAATACTCTGTCTCTCAAGCAAGAATTAAACAAGAAATGCTTCTCCCTAAACTAGGTTTTCAAAAACTCTCTCTCTATGCATGTGTGCTGAAACGGCACAAACAGTTCACCATTCGTGTATTTTTCACCACCAAATGGGTATTTGCTTTCCTGAATTCCCCTTGAAAGCCTGGATGAATATATTCCCTCCCTCTCTTTCTTTCTCTCTCATCATTTGGTGAGGCACATTAGGATCATTCTTGCACTGATCAAGAACATGGAATGAGGTCACAATGAAAATTTTGTTTACTCTCTGTTTCTCTCTTCGTGTGCAGGTGAAAAGAAAGTAGAAGAGTTGGAGATTATGATGGAGGAGGGGAGAAGGGAGCTCATTGCAAACACTGATGATTACACTGACCCTTCGGCAAATCGTGGACACGACCCCAAGAGCAAGGGTGGAGGCGGAGGAGGCCGGAAAACGCGCGGCGATAACCCATGACACAATTCTTTTGTATAAAAACGCAGTCGTGTTTTTTTTGGTATTTATTGCTACCTTAAATGTGTGTGTCATTATTATGGCTGAGGTGGTAGTGGTGGTGGTGAGGCCTTTAATCTGTGAGGGATTGCTTTGGTTTGTGTGATCCCTTTATTCGATGGAGAGAGAGAGAGAGAGAGAAAGAGCTGCTTAGCTCTGTTGACTCTTTGGTTTATATTTATGTATTTGACTTTATAGTGTAATGTGAATGCCCTAGTTTTTGGCGTTCAAGGAGTAGTTCTATGGTTAATATATTCAATAATATGTCGCTTTTCATTCCTAATCTTCTTTTTTGTGACAAATAAGCGACATGGTGGGCTTTACTTCTGCTAGTTTGCATGAACATGTGAAAATAGCTTTGGAAGTCCTTCACAATGAGCCCGCCCTGAAAAACTACGGCCTGAGCCACAAGTGGCAGAGGGCCATACGATCATGGCCCGAATGTAGGGCAGGGCTGGGCCTGGGCCAAGGCCGGCCTTGGTGGCATGGACTGACCCTCTGTTTCCCTGCTTTTTATATTTTTCTATTTTATTTGGCATGGTTCGTCCCATCCCTGGTAGGGCTATGGCCTGGCTTGGGCCAGGTTTTTCTGTGGCCCGGTTAGGGCCAAGCCAGGCCTAGGCTGTCCCTTCCTAGGCTCAGCACATTGCCAATCCTACAAATAATGGAATGCATATAAACATTGGCCTACTACATATGCTTCTACTTATTACTACATATGCTTCTATTTATTTATTTATTTATTTGATGAAGATTAAAATCTGGTGGCGAAAAATTTTAATTTGTATTTTAATTTATTTATTTGTTTATTTTTTGATGAAGATTAAAATCTGGTGGCTACAAATTTTAATTTGTATTTTTGTTAATTTTATTTTTATAGATTGGGTAGACTTTTTATTTTTATTTATTAGGGTTAATTTTGAAAAATAGGATTTTTTGGTTTAGTTTGATAAAGTCTAATTTTAGGAAGTATGTTTTACTTAGGAAAATTAAGTCTGTATTCTTTTAAGGTCAAATCTTTTCTTTTGAAAGAGTTGGTCATCGTTTCTATTCAAGGAAATATCCATTTTTGCTAATCTTAGAAATAGATTTTATTTTATTTTTGGAGGTAGAATCATTTATATATATCTTTTAGGAGCTATGGTAGAAAAGTGAGTACTATCTTTTTATTAAGGTATGGCTTGGGTGTTATGGTATTAGCCTAAAATTAGGAAAATAATGGCTCACGTAGGTGGAAAGGATGAAATGGATGAAGTAGGAAGTTGCACTTATATTTTAGGAAGTTGGATGGAAGAATATGGAAAGAATCTAGATATAGATTTAGTTTGATTAGTTATCGTTTTCCGTTTTTAATAGAGAGGTATCTTAAGGGTTATCTTTTAATAGTTACGTGAAGACGTGATTTAAATGTATAAAAGGAGGCACACAACATGTTAAAAAGAGGATTGAATTTTGATTAATAAAGAAAAATTGAATTTTGATTAATAAAGAAAATCTTTTCTTGGATAGAGATGCTCTTTGTGAAGAGGTGATTTAAATGTATAAAAGGAGGCAATTTTGATTAATAAAGGAAATATTTTCTTGGATAGAGAGGCCTCTTTGTGAGTGTGTTTTCTTCTCTTGTGCATATGGCCCATGTCGGAATACTCGTATCCGAGCGTTTTGTTCTTTCTTCTTGTGATTTTCTTCACGATTTTTATTTCTCTCTTAAACGTGTTGCTTTTGCTGGTGTTGTTCGCCGGTAAATTTTATAGTGCATCATTTTTTTTGAAGTTAACTTGGTCCAACTTTATTCATATTTTCTTATACAAGGCTACCTAGCTGCTTAAAAAGTTGCTAGAAAAAAGGTTGCAACCAGGTGGCATCAAAATTGGAAAGGTAATTTATCAAAAATCACCTTTCTTAATAATTTCATAATTTATCCTTTTCAACAAGTCTAACTTATGGTTATATCTATTTTAATATGTGTCTTAAATTAAATAAAAAATGTGGATAAAATGTTAATCTCTTATCCTTTTTGTGAATTCCCTGATTGATTCATGAGTAAGCACTTATTGCACACCTTTTTTCCACTCCTTATAATTGGGGAATGGAACTGGTTACTATGATCCATGACTAAAGAAAATTTATTGTCCTTAAGAGACTACAATGGACAATGATGGATGGAAAGTGCAACAATTGGTCATGTCATTTTCCGCAGGGATTCCATACTGCACATTGAATAGATTGTGAGAACTGTTATGACCATTAAATTTATGTGGTCATCATAGTATAATTAATCGCTCATGAAAATAAATTGTTAATTTTGATGACAAACATTCGAGTACCACTCTTCTTAGAGCAACACATGGAACTAATGGTGATTAATGGACCACAATCTGCTTTCATTAAGGGAAGACCGATTATGAACAATATTTTATGTTCTCAAGAATGTATTAGTTCAAGAAGAAAGGGTGATGTAACCGGTATAACATGTAAAATTAAGTTGCAAAAAGCTTATGAAAGAGCGGATTGCGGGATCCACAGGAAAATTATGGCTGCCATGGTTTTTCGGGATAGGTAGTTGAAATGGATTGATGGATACCTATCTTCTTCTGCTTATTTTCAATGGGAAACCAAAAAGCTTTTTTAACGTTACTCGGGGACTTAAGCAAAGGGATTTGTTATCACCTTTTTTATTCACCATTATAGTGAGTTATTTAGTGTGATATTGAAACGTATAGTTGAGGAAGGGATGATAAAAAGCTTCAAGGTAAAAGAACGGGGGGCAAAGGTATTACAACTGCAATATGCAGATGATACTTTAATCTTTTGTTGAGCAAATTAAGCTAAAGTAAGGTTGAAAACAAGGTTTTTTAAATGTTTTAAAGCAACATCTGGGCTTACGGTCTACCTACAAAAAATACGTTAATTGGAATGGAATGTCAGAATGAAGAGGTTTCGGGGTTCACTGAGAAGATGGGATTGGGGGTGATGAAATTCCCAATGAGATATCTTGGGCTTCCATTAACATATAAGAGAATGACAAAAGCAATGTGGGATCCAATAATTAAAAAAATGCAATGGACGTTAGACTTGTGGAAGCCTAAGTTATTGTCTCTAAGAGAATGATTTACTTTGATTAAAGCTACTTTGAATGATTTGTCAATACCTTATATGTCACTATTCATGATGCCTAGTTGCGTAGTAAAGGACATGGAGGGACTGATGATAATTTTTTTATGGGGAAGTGATGAAGTGAAGATTAGTCTTATGGCATAGAGCAAAGTGTGTACTCCTATAAAAATGGTGGTGGAATGGGAGTGAGAAATCTAAAATTAACGAATAGAGCGCTGCTAAGAAAGTGGTGGTGGCGCTGCAAGATCGAAGACAAACTATTATGGCAACGTATTTTGGAAGAAAAGTATGGATTTGATAGAGAAAATGAGATGGTGGCTAAAGAAAGAAATAAGAAAGGTATTTCATAAATGTGGAGAAGCATTGTGTCCCATAGACAGTTCTTTTAGAGCAATATAAGGGTAGGTGTTGGCGGAAAAAGGAGGATAAGGTTTTGGCAGCGGTGATAGGCCATTGAAAATTCAATTTCCAGCCTTATTTGAAAAAGCGTTAAAAAAGAATCCGAGAATTGAAGATTATGTCATTGGCAGTGTTGATAAAGCGGTAGGGACGATAAAGTGTCGACATAATAGAGAATCTAATGTGGTGTCTCATGAATATGTAAGTTGCTTGCCACAGTTGGAAAAGCATTCCTATAATCCACACAAAAACGACACAGTGATATGGGAACCAAGCAATAACAGAGTTTTTTCAGTTAAGTCAGCATATCATTTGTCGTTCCGTGATAGATGGCGATGGCACATGAAGAGTCCAGTAGAAGTTTGGAAGTACATTGCTTTATATGGCTAATGTCATTAAAAATGATTCTTACTGTAGATTTTCTTACTAGAAGAGGGAGAATATTTTCTAATGTTTATTTGTTTTGCCAAAAAAATGGCGACTCAAGTAACCACCTATTTCTAAATTGTGTGTTTGCAAAGTATATGTGGGGATGGGTATTGGGAATGTTGGATATTAATGTGACAATACCAGTGGATGTTGATGAGATCAAGTGGAAGGTGAAATGTGTTGGGGAGAAAGGTAGAAGCTTGTGGAAGATGATTAATGGGGCTTTAGTGTGGGAGATCTGTAAAGAAAGAATTCGACTTTGTTTTGAGAATTTTGCAAAAGAGGCGAAAAAGGTGTGTGAAACTATAAGCGTGGAGGTTGCTCAAAGGGAAAAGATAAAACAAAAGTTTAAGGGAGTGAGTGGAGTGGATTTGATGTACAACTCAAAAGATAGGGTGGATAAAAGGGTATCTAATTGGGAGGCGCGAAGTAAAGGTTTTATTAAACTTAACTTATATGGTAATTGTTGGGTTTTGGTGATAGCCACATCATGTTATCCATATTTTCTTATAAATGTTAAGGGCATTATGGTAAAAAGAGATGAACTTATTTGGGAAGCAATAAATTAATTTCTAAGAGGGCTAAATAATACATAATACCCATCTTTTGACGGTCATCTTTTTGGGGGTTAGAGGAATGGATTTATGGAGATGGGTCTCTAAGAGAGACAAAGAGACATGGTCTCGACGAGAGATACGGTATTTCCATGAGTTTTGGGTTGGTTAACTTTCACTTCTAGATAGAGAAAGTCTCTCGGTTGCTTTCGAGGTTATCTTTCCAGTAACAATATTGTAGAGAAAAAGAAGGTATTGATCAACGGTGGTGTTCGACAACGAGTTTAGAAGGGAAGACCAGTGATGGTCTTTTACCGATATTTAGAGACAGGTATTATCTCTTGTAACCCAAAACTGTAATCATCATTGTGATAGTGGATTTCTAGTTGTCGAGGTAGTGGATGTAGTCCTACGGAGTGAACTGTGTAAATCGTGTGTTGTGGTGGTGTTTATGTTTGCTTTATTTCTTGCATTCTATTTATAGTTATATTCATCTGCTTCGCATGTAGCCTATCATGTACACGATGTTGGGTAGGATCCCATTATTTGGGATTCCCAAACGCTATAATTGGTATCAGAGCATAAGGTGTATATGGGGCTAAGGCTTGTATTAAGAAAAAGGTGTGTGGCGAAGTTTGATGGATACATGGTTTGGGGTGGAGAAATATAGAGGTAAAGTGTTTATGAAAATTCTACAATGGAGGCAAGCGAGAAAAAATCAAAAAATCT